ACAAATAAAAAATTTACCCCCACATTTTTTTGTGATGCTTCAAAATTTATATGGGGCAGTTGCTTACCTTTCAATTTAAAAGTGTTATCTCTCTTGTTATTTTAAGCTAAGTATCCCAATAAATCATGTACTTTACCTCATTGGGAAATTAAAAGCCATTTATGTAGGGGGTCAAATTTGCAATTATATAAGAAATAAATTGCAAAGATAAATTTAAACGACACTGTAATTTGGTCGATAAAGAGGAAAAATTACAAAAGGGGTTCGTAATGGAAAAAAGCAAAATGTGTACACAAAAAAGAGTCGCTGAAAATTTTAAAAGAGCAAGGAAAAATAAAGTTTGGTCAGAAAGTTAACTTAAAACATATACCGGGAGGAGAACCAGCTGATTTCTTTCTGAGGTTTACCTTTTGCTAAATTTGTAAAGCGTACATGGTTTAAAGGGCCGGCTGGGGTAATAAAGCTAATTGGGCCCGTACACAATTCATAAATTTTCTCCCGTTGAAATTACTGTGACCACCGTTCAATAGTTTGTCCTTCCTTACTATTTATATAAAATGGGATTCTTCTTTACCCCAAACAATCGTGTAACTAAGTTTGGGGTTTAATTTCAAAATTGAAACCATATAAACTTTTAATCCCTGAATATTGGATAAAGGGGTACAAGAAGAAATCTTGGAAATGAAAATTTTAAAATTTATAGGGGAAAAAAAATTGTGAAAGGTTTTCCTATTAGAGAAATTGGGACTGAAATTTTGGAACAATGTAATTTTGGGGCAAGGTAGGTTAAAAATGTTAATTTTGGGGGAAATTTTCTAAACACCCCCATCTTTTTGCCCAAAAATCTCATCAACAAATTTAATTGTGCTAAATCCCTAAAAAATGTAAGCATGGTGGGGGGACAAAATTTAAAAGTATTTGGGAAACTTTCTGGATTCCACAAAGACGGCAAAAATTTAAAAAGGTGATTAAATCTTGTGTAATATGCGCGTGTGGATGCCAGTCCTATATGTCCCAGTCCTCCACCATTTGCCAAAGAAGAGGTACAATTAGTGAAACCATTTTATGTAACAGGTGTAACTTAGTGTCCAATAATTTTAAAAAGGTATTCAATGGTGTTCCCCTGAAAGTGTTGTTTGTTTGTTACCCTTTCTGCTCTAGGGGAGTTTTATTTAAAGTGGCACAGGGCTTGTCTGCAGAAACAGTTTAATCAGCTGTTTCGAAAATTTTCAGCTAGGAGATCATGTCCCCGGGTTTATGATTTCGGATAATCCACAAATTTTTTAGCAGGGCTCAACATTTGATAAGTTAAATAATTATGAGTTTAATCTCTGTTAAAACCCAAAAAGGGGTACCCGGAAAAATTTTTTACTCCTAGACCCCCTTTGGGAGGGGGGGGAAATACGAAAGACTTATAGGCACAGGAAGCAGTTCCTGTAAAGTCTACACTGGAAAAAATTAAATTTTGGAAAAATTCCGTGCAGTGTTAGTGGGAAACGGAAAAAAGGGGGAAATAATGCCCGTCTCATACATGAGTGATCACCTGATACAGATTTTTTACACCTTCTCACCCAATATTGGAAGGAAATTGGAAACTGCCCCTGTCTATAAATAATCTGGAAAAAAGTGATGAAGATTACAATGATTCGGGATGTTTTTAGATAAATTTAAAATGTTAAGTAAAAGAAAAGTCATTGGCTAATTGGGCTTTAAAGGGAATTTTTTCTTTTAAATATGTGAAACTTTGTGGGCGACAGAGGGAGTAAATCGACAGAACATTCAAAAAGGTGACATTGTGTTTATTGACACTGAACAACATCGAACTTTTGGCCCGGGGAAAAATATTTACATTGTACCCAGTTTCACAAGGTGTTGTCCGGAATGCAAATGTTGTGTATGGCAGGAAATTTTTTCGCACAATTAATAAATTGAATCCCTTGGAATTAAATGGTATTAATCAACGTAAATGAAAATCTGAGGGGAAAAGGACCAAGTATATTGAAGATAACGCTGACCGAGGAGCCGGAAACGAAAACGTGGTAAGACCTACTAGGGGAACAGCCCCCCAAGCCAGAACCGGGTGGAATCGCTCCTAAAGGAAGGAGTAATTTTAGTCGTTTAGCAAGAACCCGGCCGCCGCAGTGTGGAAAATAAGAATTTTCCCCGGAAAAAAAACATGTATTTTTAATGTAAAATTAGTGTAAATTTTTTATTTAAAAAAAATTTTTGTTATAAAAAATGGAAATCCCCGTGCTTTCGCAGAAGAGACTCGCCATGTTTGAAATAGTCACGCAAACGTATGAATAATGGAAGAATTTCGTGCTCTAGAGGGTTTAAAATTTGGGCTGGCACCTCTCAAATAGGATCCAAAATTGTTGGATGTGCATTCCTGCATAATTTGAGATATCAGGCGACTGGACAAGACAGCTCCAGGAACCTCAGATAAGCTATCTAGATTGTGTTGTAATTCTGGCCAGTATTATCATCATAAATTTAGTTAGAATGAGGTTTTTGAGCATGATACACATTAATCTCCAGTCAAATTGGTGAGTGATATTAAGGTATATTCTCCTTCTGTTATATAAATGTGTATAAGTATCATTAATTTAAATATACAGTCCACCAATTTTTATATTTACCAGAATTCCTGTGTGTATGTACATTTCATTTGTAATTATAGGTCTAGAGCAACTTGTGGATATGACAGTTGTAGGTATCGAAGGGGGACATTTTTGTGACCTAGGTGTCCCAAATTTCTACTTGTCTATTTAACTTTGATAAATAATAATTATCTTTGTTACCATTACTGGTATGTGCATTAGAGTTTACATCCAGATAAATGCAATTTTCCATATATATATATATAATGTATGTATATAATAATATATATATATATATAATATATATATATATATATATATATATATATATATATATATATATATATTATATATATAATATATATAAGATGTGCACCTCATATGATAACCCTATACTGCACGAATATGACAGTATTCTGAGGCAGATTTTTACGAAAGTACTTAACCTTACTCTAGAAGACGGGCAGTGGAACCAAGCTACACTTCCAGTCAGACTAGGAGGCATTGGTGTGCGCAAGTCATCACAGATTGCGTTACCTGCTTTTCTGTCCTCGTGTATTGCATCCAGAGAGCTTTGTAGCAGCGATTCTCCCTGAACATCTTAGGGACAAGATAGGAGTCCAGGACCAAAAATTCATTGACGAGCAATGATCTGGATAATCTAACCGGCTCTGGAGCCAGACCTGCTCCCCCCAACAACTACAAACAATCGCACGGGATGGTCCAATAGTGGAAAATATTGCCTCAACAATGCTTCAGAGTGTGTCAGGGAAGGATAGAGCCCGCCTCCTGGCAGTGAGAGCCCCTCATGCTGGGGACTTTCTGTTGGCTGTTCCCAACTCCAGCCCTTGGCACACGTCTCGACCCCACAGACCATCTGCATCGGTGTTGCCCTTCGACTTGCCCCCCCTATTCTCGCCGAACACAGGCGTATTTGGGGCAGTGAAGCAGCAGACCGATTCGGGTTACCATGGTCTTGTGTGCCGTAAATCCGAGGGAAAGATTGCAAGACATGAGGAGGTTAATAACATTATCAAGAGGAGCCTCACAACAGCTGGATGCCCAGCAGTAAGGGAGCCACCCCAACTATGCAGATCTGATGGCAGCCAGAAGCGTCCAGATGGTATCACCCTTCAAGCCTGGACAGATGGGAAGCAGGTGGTGTGGGACTAAAACATGTGCATCTATTTTGGCTGATACCTATCTCCAATACACCAGGGAGGAAGGAGGGGCAGCTGCCAGCTTCAGGGAGTCCCAAAAGTCTAGAAAATATGGAGAACTTGCCCATCATTATATGTTTGTTCCCATAGGCTCAGAGACCCTTTTCTCATGGGGAAAGAGTGCATCTAAATTCCTTAAGGAGCTGGGAAAAAGATCATCAGGGTAACTAGGGATCCCAGCGCAGCTAGTTTTCTGTTCCAGCGGCTCAGTGCGGCTGTTCAAAGGGGTAATGCCTGCTGTATTTTGGGCACACGCCCCAGCTCTGAGGAGCTGGATGAGATTTTCGCCTTATAATAGGTGATACACACGTAACAACATGTACCGTATATGCCACCTTATATCAAAAATGTATCTCTTAAATCTTCTGTACCATATTATGTAATAAAATATTCCTATTAGTAAAAAAAAATAAATATGAAAAGATGGGGTGGTAGGGGAAGTGGAATATTCAAATGGCTTCAGGAAGAAATCCAAATATTTTTTCCTTGAAGCCTTTTTTATCCACTTCTCCGAGGCTATGGGTCCCACAATTTACACCAGAGGTGACCCCTCATATATATATTAAATATATATATATATATATATATATATATATATATATATATATATATATATATATATATATATATATTTATAATATATATATAATATATATATATATATATATATATATATACATATGTCGTGCCGAATAGGCAGAACTTGCGATCTTGGCTTAAATAGCAACGCTCATCTTGCCATATAGGACAAGTGAAAATTTGTGTATGCAATAATTTTCGCCAAAATCTTTCTGAACCTAACGAAAAAAAATATATTTCACTGTGTTTGTTTAGTATTAAATTATTGTAAACAAATCTAAAATATATTTAGTTGGGTTAGGTTAAAATAAATTGTTCTTGTTAAAATAAGGCTAGGTAAGTTTCTAAGATTCTTTTGGTGCAAAATTAAAAATTTTTACATTAACATTAATGAAAAAAATATATCTTTAAACGTTTAAGAGAAAATTTCAGAAAGGAATTAATTTTAAATTAGTTCTTGCTAATTGGTCAGTTTTACATATTCGGCACGACATATATATATATATATATATATTATATATATATATATATATATATATATAATTATATATATATATATATATATATATATATATGCTAGAAATTTGTGAAAGTAACTCACTTGGGGGAGTTAGCGATGAGTTTTCCATCTTTGCGCCAGGTGATGGAGGGGACAGGGAAGCCTCCTGCTGGACATGACAGCTGCACGTCCAGACCAGCCACTGCTGTAACGTTAGGCATAGCTCGTACAAAAGGAGGACCTGTAGAAGTGGATGACGTAAGTTGCTGACGAACTTGGAATGAAGTTAAATTTTGTAACAAACTTAAACACGACTTCATTGAGAAACTTATAAGATAAGATAAGATTTCGTTCGGATTTTTAACCCCGGAGGGTTAGCCACCCAGGATAACCCAAGAAAGTCAGTGCGTCATCGAGGACTGTCTAACTTATTTCCATTGGGGTCCTTAATCTTGTCCCCCAGGATGCGACCCACACCAGTCGACTAACACCCAGGTATCTATTTGCTGCTAGGTGAACAGGACAACAAGTGTAAGGAAACGTGTCGAAATGTTTCCACCCGCCGGGAATCGAACCCGGGCCCTCCGTGTGTGAAGCGGGAGCTTTAGCCACCAGGCCACCGGGCCTGGTCATGTCGTGTAATTTCATGGACCTAATTATAGTTCATCCTATGAGAATTTTTCATTGAATTTTTCTACCATGGAATGTCCCTTCAAACTATGCTTGCTTGTCGATATTTTATCTTTAAGCAACTCTGGTATTTTACAAAATTCCAAGATGGACGATGCTCGTCATCTTCAAAAATTAACTATAATGATATGTAATACCTCTTTTTATGGGTTTTACAGATTGTAAAATGCATATTCTAAATTATATTTCTCTAATTCAAGTTCAAAAAATTAGAATTTCTCGTTAGTAAACGAGACTTGAATTGCAATCCCCTCAAGGGCTATTAATCTAGGGAATTGGATCTGTGCTCCGGTTCCTTGAATTCAGCCTGAGTACCTTCCATCACCCCCATGCGCTGTATAATCCTACGGGTTTAGCGATCCCCCATGATTATAATAATTATAATAATTGAACTGCACTTCTTTTGAAAAACTTTCAGATAATTCTCCACGAAAATTTATATAAATGTATGTCTGCTGGAATACAGGAATATCTTATTGGTCAAGCTGAATCAGATATTCTGGAAACAACAGCTTTAGCACAAAGCTGAATCAGATATTCTGGAAACAACAGCTTTAGCACAAAGCTGAATCAGATATTCTGGAAACAACAGCTTTAGCACAAAGCTGAATCAGATATTCTGGAAACAACAGCTTTAGCACAAAGCTGAATCAGATATTCTGGAAACAACAGCTTTAGCACAAAGCTGAATCAGATATTCTGGAAACAACAGCTTTAGCACAAAGCTGAATCAGATATTCTGGAAACAACAGCTTTAGCACAAAGCTGAATCAGATATTCTGGAAACAACAGCTTTAGCACGAAGCTGAATCAGATATTCTGGAAACAACAGCTTTAGACACAAGCTGAATCAGATATTCTGGAAAACAACAGCTTTAGCACAAAGCTGAATCAGATATTCTGGAAACAACAGCTTTAGCACAAAGCTGAATCAGATATTCTGGAAACAACAGCTTTAGCACAAAGCTGAATCAGATATTCTGGAAACAACAGCTTTAGCACAAAGCTGAATCAGATATTCTGGAAAACAACAGCTTTAACACAAAGCTGAATCAGATATTCTGGAAACAACAGCTTTAACACAAAGCTGAATCAGATATTCTGGAAACAACAGCTTTAGCACAAAGCTGAATCAGATATTCTGGAAACAACAGCTTTAGCACAAAGCTGAATCAGATATTCTGGAAACAACAGCTTTAGCACGAAGCTGAATCAGATATTCTGGAAACAACAGCTTTAGCACAAAGCTGAATCAGATATTCTGGAAACAACAGCTTTAGCACGAAGCTGAATCAGATATTCTGGAAACAACAGCTTTAGCACAAAGCTGAATCAGATATTCTGGAAACAACAGCTTTAACACAAAGCTGAATCAGATATTCTGGAAACAACAGCTTCAACACAAAGCTGAATCAGATATTCTGGAAACAACAGCTTTAACACAAAGCTGAATCAGATATTCTGGAAACAACAGCTTCAACACAAAGCTGAATCAGATATTCTGGAAACAGCAGCTTTAACACAAAGCTGAATCAGATATTCTGGAAACAACAGCTTCAACACAAAGCTGAATCAGATATTCTGGAAACAACAGCTTTAGCACAAAGGAGCAAAAACACTTGGAAAAAATCTCTTAAAAGTCGGATAAAATGAAGTAAATTAAATTCACCTACTGAAATAGAAAAAGGTCACTCTAGGATATAATGTATATCTTGGAAATTGAAATCAGGAATGATCGTGCGGCTGGTAGGCCGATTATGTCAAATCTTCACATTCTGTGGAAGGGAACTGCTGTATAGTCCATGTGGCTTAGCGGTTCTTTTTGATTATAATAATAATAATAATGTGGAAGGGAACGAAAGATTTATCAATGCTCCAATTTCTGCGATTGTTCACGCTAATACATCTCGACCTAGTTGACTAGACGACAGAATTCGTTCAGCTATGATTCCTTACCTAGTTGGAGGAGAGGAGGAACCGAGAAAATCGCAACTGATGTAATTACCTTCAGAGATACAGGTAGTGATGAAATAAAGCTTAGTAACTGGTACTAACAAATTGGTTTAAAAAGACACATGAGCAAACACCAGGACATATTTACTAGAAACCGTTTCAGTCCTGGAACCTTAATTAATCACTTCTGTCATAGATTCAAATAACAGAATATGGAGAATGAGGTGTGAGTGACACAGTGACCTGAAAAATGCCATATTTCAGATGATGACAGGTAGACAATGAGGTCACGTGATTCCTGTGTTGTTATGTAGATGGTGCTTTGGCTGGTTAAAAATCATGTATGGTAATGTTCTTAAACATTATTATATTCTATGGTGTCGGTGACGGTGATTAGCGAGGCTTCCACATATCGTCCGCGTCAAAGATTTCGTTCAATAAGAACGAGCTGTGCCTCATTCCAATTCATGAACTGTCTCGTGAAGTATTTGTGACGACACAGGAGCATCTTAAGTAGTCTCTGTGCTGGTGTTTCGATATTCATTCAGGCTGATTGAAAGGCTTCTCGCTGTTTCCTCTGCACATTTCTTGGGACAGTATCCACAGGGGATGGTGTAGAAGCCCGCTGTGAGAATTACGTTTCGTAGTTAATTTTGATTCAAAAATATCACTGTCAATGATTTGTGCTGATTTATGAAAAAAAATATTCATTCTGCTAATTCGGTAAAGAACACGTTTGTCGAATATGCCTAACTCGGCGATTCGGGTCTTATTATTTATCATTTTTTTTATTTTGAATATGGAATTGGTTCTCCATTTGCAGCTAAAACTCCCACTTTGTGTGTGATTCTTTATCTTTTAACTCCACGCCTCTTGCCAAGACCCTCGCATTTACTTCTCTTACAACCCCATCTATAAATATATTAAACAACCACGGTGACATCACACATCCTTGTCTAAGGCCTACTTTCTGAAGTGGAAGTGACCTGATTAGATGGGTCTTTGGGCTAATCAGGGGGGGAACATGGACCTGCTTCGCATGGGTCAGTAGGCCTGTTGTAGTGTTCCTTCTTTCTTGTGTTCTTATGACTTTAAAGAACTTTACCAGGCACTTATTACGATATAGGCACTTTGATGGCAATCCGAAAAAGCTGCCTGCTTTACGACACAACTGACTTTTTTTTTGGTATTTTATTTAAACTCCAAACCATATGATACATAAAGCCATAGATAGTGTACAGTCTGAGAACGCTTATTATCTCACACACTATACACTGTGTCATTGACGTGTATAGTATGCAAAACTATGGAGAAGATTATCAGGAGGAGAGTGGTGGAGCACCTGGAACGGAACAAGAGTATAAATGCCAACCAGCACGGATTCACGGAAGGCAAATCTTGTGTCACAAACCTTCTGGAGTTTTACGACAGCACCAATTCGTCTACGAATTTATTCATATAACATATGAACAGTATCCAGGGGAATCTGAGTCATTCCTGAAGCAAAACCTGATCTAACACTTTCAGAGACGACGGTGGAGGAAATCTCCTGACTTGATGTTCCAATTTACCCCACAGACGATCGATATGTAGATCCGTCAATAGTGGGGGCGAACCAAAGTGTTCGACTTCACTTTCGTTTTGTTCATTCCAGTTCTGAACAACTCTAGCGGTGTGAATTAGTGCATTATCGTCTTGGGATGGAGTTGGTCATGGGATGGATTTGGTCACCATTATCGACACACATATGCCTGGGCGTTAACCCTACCATGCAGTACCAGGCTAAGTCAATTCCACGATATTCCTGCTCAAATAACCAATAATTTGAGCAGTTTCAAAATTCCAATGTTGGTGTAACTATGACAACGTTCATGCAACTATTGGCAAATGGAGGAACCACTTGGTCACTGGTATATAAATATTCCCCATTTTCTTTTCTATGATAACTCGAGAAAGACAGTTCAGAGTTATTCCAGTCTTTCAACTGGTATTACCTGTATAGATTAAATTGTCGGTTCTGATTTATTTATTTTATTATTAAAATGGTCTCATTTTCCCCGGAAATTACTGCAATCATTACAAAATGATTGTTCAAATGCATAGGCTTTCAAGATACAAATTTGCCAGTTTCCCAAATGAGGAAAAAAGATCTTAATTTTTTGTTCTTTCATAGGAAAATTCAGCAAGAATATTTATTTTTTGCTCGAGCTGCAATGAGTATAAAATGTTGATGACTGATCGAAACGTGCGTCATTTGCACACTTTAACCAAAATTCATCAGTTTTGGGTAAGTAATGAAACTATTCTCTTCCATAAACATCCTCTTCAATGGGGGCTCCTTGGCGTGGTGAAGAGGCTCTTGGTCTGAGGAATTAGACCTTTTGGTGTCCTTCCTCAGACCGAACCTAATCCCCCCCAATCCCCCCTACCCTATCCCATCCTCCCTTTTTCCCTTTCCTTCTCCTTCTCCCCATCCCTCCCCTATTCTCTTCCTCTTTTCAGCCTTTGAGATTCTTCCCACAGCAATCTATGGCGGTGGTGTAGTTTGGATCACCTGGGGATGTCCCAATCCCTCTCCAGTTTCCCAGGGGGTGGCTC